AGCCAACCTTGGAAATGAGCACTTGACATGTAACACCCACTTAATCTTATGTCGATCTGTTGAGGCAGGTCCCCACAGCTTGTCCAGTTTACAGATGAAGAGCTCGAGGCTGAGGCTGGGGAAGTTACTTGTTGAAGGGCACTCAAGAACCGGTCTGTCGGACTCCGGACTCCCACCCACCATGCTTGTCTGTCACCCAAAGTGGTGTGTGTAGACAATGGTCCAGACAGCCAAGAGTCTGATGGACATTCCATTACAAAGAGGACAGTTGTAGGTTAGAAATAGAAAGGTGTTTAAATGCTGGAATTTGGCAATTCTATACAAGGTCTAAAACATAAATCCTCACCCCAAAGTCAGGGACATAAGTAACAGGCTGATACTGTCCTATCATTAAACTTAATGGAAATGAAGCTTTTGCTACATTTATCATATAAATTAACTCATGACAGAAAACCCATAATCATTACACAGGCCACACATTCTTATATATCTGAAGAGAAATCTACATGTGAAAGGTTATTTGAAAGCTCCTACAACTGTCTTGCTGGGGAGAGGTTACAGTACATCCCATATGTTTTCTGTCAGTTGTCAGACCTACTTCCTGAAATAAGCAAATCGGAAACATGAAAGGAAAACAAACCCAAGCAAATGAATATAAATTTAAAAAAATATACATATACACATATATAGTTAACAAAAATCAGGAAATGAAATCTGCTGTTCCTCTGTTTTGATTCTTGAAGAATAGCGTTTTGTTATATTTGTATGCAAGCATTTTAATTTATTTTGCAATTTTGCTCAGAAGTGAACTTTATGCCTAAGAAACAGCAAAGCGAAGCTGACTGTGGAGGCTCCCAATTTCATATGCTCTGATTTTTAGAAAATTGCTTTGGGGAACTAAACCAATGACCTAGGAAATCATAACTCAGTCAAGCTCGTTCAGCCTTCCCAAGGCAAAGAAAGGGGGGGGCAGCTTGGGAAGGCCCACTGTCGGTACGGCAGGGCATACATTAAAGAACAATCTTTAATCCAACAACTGTTAGAAATAGCGTTCAGACTTATTCCACAAGTCCAAGTCTCAACTATGGGTTTGAGGTAAAATACCATAGAACTTACAGATGTCTAAATTGGGAGGGGCCTGGTGCCCGTGGCCGCCTCTGTCACAGAGCTCAGCTGTGGCCACTGTTCATTTAAAAAGTCCTGACACAACGGCACTCATTTTTCATCCATCTCTGACTCACACAATCTCGGTAGAGTGAAGACAACGTCTTTGTTGGTATTTTGCAAGGTTCCATGCTGAGGTCGCACAAGCGACCTACAGAACCTTCATAAGGTTGGATGTCACAAAGGGCGGACAGACCAAAACTGCCGACTCATTTGGCCCAGTGTTATCATCTCTAAAAGAAACTGTAAGCCACGCACAGGAAGTGTCTACCAGAAAAGTCACTGACACAAACACGGACGAAGGCTTAGAACACAGTTAGGAGTGCTCCCCTCCGTGAACTGGAGTGTTTACCGAGCTTCCCTTGAAAACGGGCACTTAAGAACAGATAGTTATTTCATAAACTTTTTGAAATTTTAAAGACAAACATAACTGTAGGTTATATAAATGCTTACTATGCTTTTAAGGCAATTAAGAATGTGAATGTCATAAAGAACGGGGGAGGGGTGCTTTTTCAGACCATATGGCACTAACATCCCTATTTCTGGATCATTTAAGATTAGGAGTTTGATGATGCAAATCAGGCCTAAGGCTAATTACTGAAATAGGTCACTTGAAAAAGTCAATTCTAAATATTAAGAAAACCCACATATATCATTTTGCCACATGTCAAAGCAAATAATCATCTATGAGAAGAGCTAATGAGGAAGCGTATCATTTTGTCATGTCATTTCCTAAGGGAATTTAGTGGATACTTGGTAGGTTTAAAAATATACTTGCAATTAAAAAATTAATATTTACTTCTAAAACTCCAAAGCCTGGTGACTATATTCTAAAAATCTGGTAACACTGTAAATCAAATTAAAGGTCTTTGAATTCACAGCAGATTCCATCCATTTCTACTGGAGAAGAGACACATTAACAAGAGATCCTACACGGGATATATATATATCCAACCATAGAATGGTTTGGAACTACAGGCCTCCATCACTGGCCATAAGAAAAACGACAAAAGAACTTTCTAGAAAAGAAATCAAAATTCAAGAGATAAGGTGACTTTCTCCTTAAGTGCAGGCAAGGGACTCGACCCCAGGTCCCTGGGCTGCTGGCCCATTGCTCCTGGGATCAGTTTCCCTGGGGTGTTATCCAGCACCCGGGCTGACTACTGGCAAAATGGACTGTTCCCCTTGGGGGCTAGCGTGACCCCACACCGTCACTTCTCTGGTTCCTGCCCGCGACAAGGAGCCAGCTCACAGGGCTGGTGATGTTAATACGCATACTTTTAGTCATGAAGGTGCTTAGACAACGAAGATTTGGAGTTGGGATACCAGGTGTATAGCCGCATCTCCCAAACCCACATTATTAATGGTCTCCAAGTGAACTGAGGGCCTGAGCTGTTCGAGATACATTTGTGAGTCTGAGTGCTCTCCATTTGCCGTCTTGAATAGTCCTCTTTTAAGTCGAGCGTGACTCCGGGGTGTATGGTGAGTGATTGTGCGATGTGGAAATCAGAGACTTCTAAAATCTTGGAATTCTCGCAGAAGCAATGGAAAGTCAGACTTAACTTTTTAAGCAATTGTAAAACGTGTTCTGCTCGTCTGCCATCTCCTTTCCAGGGAAAGCTGTCTATCAGTGAGTGAGCTCTGCTGGCCGGGGCCGGGCATGAGAAATGAGCTTCCGGCTTTTCCCCGGTACCTGCAGTGTCCTCCTATGTCTGTGGTGCGGTGGGATCGCTCAAGGGTCTGGGAAGTGTCTCCCCCGGTGGTTGGCCAGTCTTCAGCCCCGGACACTCACCTGGCTGGCAGCCTTCCAACAGCCTCTCACTGTTTCACACTGTATTTTAAGAAAGATTCTCTTATCCCAGGCTACCATGAGGTTTTACCTGGTAAATCGTCCCTCTGAGGCAAGTTCTGGTGGCCAGGGGAGCTCGGCTACGTGCCACTTAAACTCATGATGAGTTTTTACAGAAAGACAAGGAAGAGATGCTGCTACTGTATAGATTAATATTGGAACTGTAAATTAAGTCGTGCCTCTAAGTACACACCTGTCACGTAACGATGCCTCGTAGTTACGCAGTGCTCGCTCTGTCACACACAAAGGTGATGCACCCCACCTCAGAAGCGTCCCAACACCCTGCCTGCACTCAGGGGGATGCATATTGTACGAAGCCATCTTCATGAAGCCATAAATGAAAATAAGAGGACGGAATCTGGGTCTGGGGCTTCTCTGCAGGGAAGAGCTGGCTCGCGCACCTGGGCGGGACACATGGTTCTTGGGATAGATGCTGGGAACCGCAGGCCTCGGGGGTTCTAGAGCACCACCCGCCCCAAGGCACCATGTGAGCTCTCTCCCACCTGCCCAGGGGGGGCACAGCCTTCCTTGGGGATTCATCAGGTCCCTGCACTACACATCAGTGTCCTTGGCAGAGAGTCTTGCTTAAAAGGCCTTTAAAATAAATAAATAAGCAAGCCACTAGGCTTCCGGTATCTTCATGGGTTTTACCCAATAACTATCTTCAATTTTCAAAGATTTCTCTACTATTTTGTACACTTTACCATCCCGCCTCCTTGTTTCATCCCTCAGAATGCTTTTATTTTCATTTTATGATAATTATTCCTTTAAATCTATAATTTCCCACTTTCCCTTTCTCTGTGGCACTGACTCTTGCTAAGCCACTCTCTCTGTGTCAAGTTGGCTCCCATCAGGTTTTCAGGTCCTGGTATTTCAGGTTTGCCACAAGGATGAGATAATTAGACAGCTATGACCATCTTTGTCTTAATAACTCACGTAGTAAAAAACAGGGTATTATTGAGTACAAGTAAGTATCCAGTGAATTCCTGACTTTGCATTCTCAAGAGCGACCAGAAGGCTGAGAAAGCCACTTCCACCGGATCACCAAGAGATGGGATGGGATCCCAGAACACAGCTCTGCACCCCTGATGAACCGAAACCGGGGTTCATCACATGCGCACTCCCGCCCGGTTATGGGCATAGTTTTTTACACCAAAGAAAAAGAAAACCTATTTCATGGCTTGAGTGATAATAATCACGCAGACTGCACTCTCACAAAATCCCGGGCCTGGAACAACCCTCTCTTTGTGCCCACACATCACGTGCTCCTAGCAGGCATGTGCTTGGATGCCTGTACCCTTTGCCCTCAGTGTCATGAAGGGAGCAACAGCTCAGATGGGACCCGAAGGATATCTAGTACCTGTTTCCTGCAACAATGTGTCATATTATTACGAAGATGGAAGGAAAAGGTAATTCACTGAACAAACCCAAGTCTTATACTTCTAAATCTGGTTCTAACATGTCAGTGTGTAATTCTGTTTTGCCTCTAACCCCCATCCTTAGAATCTATGGGCTCCACAAGGAAAGGGCACCATTCCACCACCTTGTTCACTGTTCAATCCCTAGCACTTACACACAGCTTCTGTCATAGAGTAAAAACTAAATTACTAGATGCGTGAGTGAACAGATGGACGGATGGACGGATGGATGGGTGAAGAGAAAAGTCATCGCATAAGATTTACCTATGAGATCTCACCAGTAGTCCTTAAAAATGTTTTGTCAGTAGAGATGCTGAGTATATTCATAAATATCCACTTATTTCAATACTATAAAAAGTCTAGGAGGTTTTCTCCTCTTTGGGTATTTATATTATCGAATAATATTGGTACAGGGTCCTCATTCAATTAAGGTTTCTTAAAAAAAAATGGACAATTTTCAGCAAAGATTCTCACCAAATTATTTGCCACAGAAATAATTTAAAAAACTGACACAGATGTATTTAGCTTATTTTAATTTCTATAAGATAAATGAATACAATTATACTTACATATGATGTAATAATCTCTGTTCTTCTGAAATTCTAGACCCCAGAGGTTAGGGCTGAACTCTTGAAACTTGATCGTGAATTTTACATCTTGGTCAGGTCTCGCACAGTTGAGAAGAGGAGTATTTTCCTTCTTAATAGTGCATCGGTCTGCCTGGTCTTTATCAACCATATAAACTTTATAATATTCATACTGGCCAACAGTTTTAGAGTCCACTTTGGGGCAAATAATATCCAATTTGTCTCCTATCTGTGGATATAGTACCAGTCCTTGTCCAGGTAGAAATCTAAAAAAGCATAAAAAAAGAAAAAGCCATTGAGTTGATAAAATTAACAATTTTAACGATAATTGTAATTTAGCCAATGTCAATAATTCCAAAGTACAATGTTATAAATCCACATTTGTATTTGCCAAAAGTATCTTAGTTCAGATCAGCAGGGGATGAATGTATTTAGGAATTAGGCTCTAAGAAAGAAAGAAAGAAAAAGAAAGAAGGAAAGAAAGAAAGAAAAAAGGAAAGAAAGGGAAGGGAAGGGAAGGGAAGGGAAGAGAAGAGAAGAGAAGAGAAGAAAGAAAAGAAAGGAAAGGAAGAGAAGAGAAGAGAAGAGAAGAGAAGAGAAGAGAAGAGAATAAAGAAAAAAACCCACTCTCTCCTTACTCTATGCAACAGGATCAGTCAACCTCCTGACACTCCTTTCTACCACCCCCTCGCTTGTAATATTTCAGTACTCCTTTGTATAACTTCACAATAACTTTTCCTAGGTGGTGAGTCACACCTTCACACCTGTTTGTTATTTTTCTAGCCCTTGGCAGCTTTGGTTTATTGGACGCGCCATAGAAAGATGGCGTCAATTCCAAAGAAGAGTGGGTGCGCTAACACTTTGTTGTCCTGTTAGTTTCCATTTGCTGTTGATGTTAATTAACAGACAAGTTTCATCAAGAATGTTCAAATTACTTATCGTAATTAGTCAGTCACTGATCAGACAATGGGTTTTTTATTACACCGAACAAAAGAAATGTCTTACAAACCCATAAAAGATAACCAGAAATAACTCCCTGTCCTATTGATTCAGCTGCAAGATGAGAAGTCCTCCCAGGGCAAGGACAGCAACCACTGTCCCTGCTCCACAAACCTTTTTTTCTGCCTTGAGATGTATTTGCTCCAATTAATTCTTAGAAGCAAATCTTTAGAACTAAGATGACGGATACAATATCCCCTTAATGCTTTCAGCTAAAAGCTTCCCTCCTCTCCTTTCTCCTTCTTGCTTGCCATGCTGCTGAAAGATCTTTCCTAATGGGGAGTTTCTCTGTGTAACTGGAACAAGAGCTTTCTAATGAACATCCATCCACAAGTGCGAACACTAACAACACACTCAGAAACCCCATCTAGTCCCTCCCTGGGTAAGCAGCCAAGCCTGCAGGCTCATTAAAATATTAAAGCCCAAGAACAAAGCATCACATCTGAATCCTTCCAATCCAGCCCTTTATTTTACCGGGGAAGCCCACCAGCCATGACAATTAATGGGTCATCATTCACGGAGAATGAGAGAGCAAGGGAGCTCCTGGATGATAGGGCACCTCCAATTTCAAGCCCAGACGGAGGAAACGGGTAATGATTTATGCTAATGAATGGTATTAATTTTCTGAAAAGTGCAGGAGGTTGTTATGAACCATCACAGAACATAACAAATTATAGTATAGATTTATATTAAAAACCAATACTCTTTATGGCAGGAAAAATTCATGCCGCATGGTGGTTTGTCACCTTCTTTGGGAATGTGTCATTTATAATCCCAAAGAAAGTGTGGTCCCCCCCACCTTTTCCCCCAAGCTCCTTTAGCAAGGACATAAGACATTTCATTGACAGAAAGAAGGGAAGGAAAGAAAAGTGAACAAGACATATTTAACAAAGTCTTTCTCAAAATGAACATTTTTAAAATAAGAATGACACATTCCAAACAACCAAGTGTGCACCCTTGAAGTCTATTTCTAAAACTTTTGACAAATGAGGACCACCACTAATGAAAGCCTCTCTGTGACTTTCTTGGCCATTCATACAGTTTTCGGGGGAGATGCTTTGAAAAGTCAACTCCCACCCCCCACCTCCTGAGTGCCCATGTCATCTCCGTAGGCCATTCTGTCTTTCTTGCAGGGAAAACACAACTCTGGGTTCTGGGAGAGGGACTGAAGGGCTGAACCATCATGTTCGTGGATGAAGTTCTGTTGTCTTTACTTCTGCCCCTCACAGTGATTCTACGTGTCCTTTGGGTTAAGAAGTGGGGGCAGGTTGCCCGGAGGAGGGTATGAAGGAAGCGTAGTGACCATTACACGGCTCACCTTCCGAACACAACGTTTTCCTCATGTCTTATTCCTTGACATTGTCAGGAAATCTTTACTGCGTCCAAGAACCAGAGGCCAATCCCTGCCGGAGACCCTCCCCACACCGCACATTTTTGATTCTCAATCTGCTCCTTTGGGAGCCGGCACAGAGCGAGCAACACGCAGTAGACTGTGTTAGAAGTGTCCCCAAACCCCAGCCGAGGTCTGCGGGCCTGTGTCTGCCTCCTCTCAAAGCTCTAGCCTTCACACCCATCCACTTTTACCCTGGGGCCACTTCTCCAGGGGCTTGCCCAGGCTTTAGAGATCAGAATCCTTGGCAGCCAGAAGGACCCATTTTCATGTGCATCCAGTCAGTTTCCTTAAGGAAATGCATCAGACCTCCCAGCCGCTTGCGATGGCTACGCATCTCAGAACTCTCCCACATCACATCCCATGTGTCTGACGTCTGGCTCACCAAGCTCTTTCTTCATTCAGAATGCTCCCTCGAACCTGTTCCCTTCATGAGAGCGTTTTTTTTTTTTCTTTTTTTTCATGCTTAACCAAAGGATCACGGGAGATTTCCAGCCAGCCATGTAAGTAACTGCTTATGGCTGTCTCTTCACTCACCAAATCTGAGTTACAGCTTCTGCTGACGGGGCTGAGGTCCAGAACCTCCGACCCCTGGGCCAGTCTGGCTAGGAGGACCACCATGTTTTAGACTGTATTTTCAGAAGGCACAAATCATGTAAAGAGTGGTAGCTGTCAGTGATGGGGGAATGATGGATGGGGAGGGTAAGTCATCCGAAGGCTTGGCAAAATGAAAGGGGAGAGGAGAAATCTCGAATTTCAATAATAATAATAATAATAATAATAATTTGATATGCTCATAAGAAGTAAATCTCGATGAAACCCACTATTCCAAATGCTCCACAAAGTGTCTGTTTACTTTTCAGAATACATTTTGGCAAAAGAGCAAGGCAAGGGTTTGATCCTTTTCCCTGAAAAAATAATTGTTTCAAGAATTCCTTAAAAAAAGACCCAGCATTTGAGTGCCTTAAAGGTTTACTTAAGCTTATGTATACACAGATACACAAGATACATATATAGAAATGTAGATATGTATATCTACATATAACCTGGTTTACATATGATTTACATAGAACATAATGTATATAAAAATATGCAAACACATATTTAAACTGTTTAGTGCACCAGTCATTCGATTGATGAAATTACAGTTTTCAGTGAAGAGTGTGGCTGAGTTGAGAGTCTGAATCAAGAATTTCTTGCCTACATTACTACTGTGCACAGTCAAGCCCCCAAAACCCCTTTGCTCCCCAGGAACCCTGTTTCTAAGGCAACATGAGAGCAAAAAGAAAGTCAAGCAAGTGTAACGATGAAAGCAATCTGTTTTGTGCTCGACACTCCAAGTGACAGAAGCATAAGGTGCTCGTGGTCAGGAGCATGTAGTCCAGCTCCCTGAGGGCAGGCAGAGCCCATGTGTCTGGTTCAATGTTGAATGTCTAAGGGCTGACATATAGTAAATGCTCATAAATAATGCATTCATTGAAAAAATATGAAATAACAAATGGAAGAGAAGATATACACAAACTTAAGTCAAATTATGCGCCATAGACTTTGCAGATTTAGGCATGGAAGAATTCTGCAGATAGGCCCAGCTAATGTTGGGAGGACAGGGGTGTGCTGAGGGCAGAGATGGAATTTCTAGGATGTCATTCCAGGCATGATGGTTATTTCTGAAGAGCAAGGAGCAGTGCAGACAGAGCCTCTGACCCATTCTCTCTGGAAGGATCTGGGAGTGTGGCAGTCTTCTACAGTCCCTTCCCATCTAAAATGCAGTGCACTTAGCCCCTCCAGAACCACTAATAATGAATACACAGCTGCTTTTGAGAACTTATTCTCAGCTAAGCACCGACAGAGGCCCCTTCCACCATATTATCTTGATTTAATCACTGCACACGTACGTAACATGCAAAACAGATGAAGCCCTGCTGTGCCAAACAGGAGACATGACAGGAAAAGCCCCCTTTCTTTGCACACTTTTCAGTTCTCACTGCATCACATTAGAGCATAAATCTGGTTTTGTGAAATGCAATTTTTTTTCTAAATTGAGCTTTGCATAGATAAGCCATGAAGTTAAGGAAAACGAAGAGAAAGTGAATGGCCATGCAGGCTTGCAATCATTCCATGGAGTCTAACTCCATGCCAAGCATGTGCCTGCTGTGGAGGCTGCTCCAGAAGTAGTCACTTGAGACCACGGCTCACAAAGGCAGCCATCTGGTAACCCAACCTTGCCCCAGGAGGCTGAGAACCCATAGGTGGGGAAGAAACCAGCCAACTATGTAAGATCTGTTTTAATTACAGTGCTACGGATGGTCTTCTCACAACTTAGGAGAATCCAAAATGTAAGTGAAAATGAAACGGGGTGAATTTCTTAATAACACCACTTTCAAGTGGAAAATGATTGTGTCCCATATGTTAAAAGCAAGTCAGTAACCATAGGCTTAAAACATAGACAAAACCCTGTTTCTGAAGCTAGGTCCTTTTTATTGGGATTTTATTACCTCAAGATTGCTGAGAGATCTTAGTAAGTCAGACTACACAGTGTAACTATGCCCTGAATATTTTGTAATCGTTAGTAATTCACTTAATCCTGTTTCGACCTAGGAAGTATTCAAAACAAGATGACACAAAACAACACAGAGGGAGAATTACGGTGGTGAACACTGGCTAATTTCAGATTTCTAACCTGGCTCTCCACGGTGGAGGTCAAATACAGATTTCTTTCTGTGTGATGAAATAACATTTGTCTTCTAACCAAAAGGAGCATAGAATTACAAGCCATGCCACACAGGTGAGGTTGTTTTTGTGAAACTCTACACAAACAAAGAGTAGTGACGGGCATCAGTTCATAAAGTCTGCTGGTGTGGAATCCCAAACAAAGCC